ATTATTTTGAAGTGTACCTTTTTTTTCTCCATTTAAATCTGACTGGGAGAATAAACCTTCTAAGCTTCTTGCAAGCCTTGTGACATTTCCCTGCTTTTTGCCTACTCAGTATAATTCCCAGGGTCATCTGTCTACATTAGAAACTGATTTTCAGCTCCCAGAGACACCTGAAATGGCAGGGCTGAAATTTTCAGAACTGGCCTGTTTGTTTGCTTGTATTTTCCAGGTTGTGAAGAGTTTTAATAGGCTTTCAAACCTCAGACCCTCCTCATCTTCCCAAAAAGTGACCTGAACATTTTGAAAATTCTGCTCACTCTGGGAATGTCATGGCATTATGAAATCATGTGTCCTCCCAGGCACAAAGACGCTCCTCTCCTCAATATATATGCCTACTTTTCTTACCAGCTACTTATCAGCTACTGATATGCCCCTGCAAGTACATACATGGTCCAGAGAGGAAAGAGCAGAATGAGGGGAATTCAATTTCAGAACAGTCTTGTAGTCAGATCTGATGGGACTGAAGATTCCCAGTAAGGGCAGGAAGGGGGAGGGAGTACTTGTAACCAATAGCAGTTCCTTTGCATGGTGGTCTGTTTGCTGAACTAACTAAATAAATAAATCACTGAAATTGTGAACACGCCCTGCTTACGCTACATAGCACTACTATCAATTTTTTTTCAACTTGCTCTATTGCAAATGTAAACAACTTGGGTTTGTATTTAAAAAACGCAAAACAAAACCCTTGCTTAAATTGTTCTGCCCTTGAAAACTGCTTTATTTTCTTCTTTTTCTTCTTGTTTGTAAGACATGGGATGTGAAAGCACCTTGGGTGGCTGCTATCTCCTGCCTCAGGAAAACAGCTTCTGCCCACGCTCTTTCACACATGATCTTCTTTCCCATCCCAAAGTCACACAAGATGGAAAGGGTGAATCGACACAGCCCCCTCGAACGTGCTTCCTTTGTGTTGATTAGACCTGAACCCAAAGAGGTAGAGAAGTCAGTGTCTTGTCTGTTTTCTGCATTCAAGAAGCAGCAACTATATCTATGTAAGATACATCCAGAGAATTTCCTCCTTAAATGATACTCTCAATTATGGTTGCCAAAAGTTCCTCAGCATTCACAATATAATTACAATACAATACAGTCAGCAAAGCTAAAGACAGTATCTCTAATCTGACATGACATCAGGATTTTGCATTTTGTATATTTATTTAACGGAGCCAGTTTGGTGTGATGGTTAAGGCATCAGGATAGAAACTGGGAAACCGTGAGTTCTAGTCCCACCTGAGTCATGAAGACCAGCTGTGTGACCTTGGGCCAGTCCCTCTCTCTCAGCCCTAAGAAGGAGGCAGAGGCAAACCACTTTTCAAATCTTGCCAAGAAAATTGCAGGGACTTGCCCAGGCAGCTGCTGAGAGTCAAGGCTGACTCAAATACAATAAATAAATAAATAAATAAATAAATAAATAAATAAATAAATAAAATATTTGATTCTCACTTGACCTAGCTGGCATGACATGTTGGAAGTATGTTAGATTTCTCCATTTGGCAGAACAAGGGGATTGAAGAGACAGAGATCCAGTTTTCAATGGGCACAGATGTATCGGATCAAGCACAGCACTTCTGAATTTGGAGGGCAGTTCCTGCAGTGGAACTGGAATTGCTGTTCAAAATTAGAGATTTATTTTCAAGAGAAATTAGAGTTTAGATTTCAAGAGAGGCTCCCCCTTGAAATGCTTCCAGTAGGCAGGGGATTCAGGGAGAGAAAGTTATTCTTCCTCTCAATACAGGTTGTGATCATAAGACTGTCCCTGTGCTTGCAAAATTCTGTATATAACAAAACCTAAACATAAGTGATATTCACATAATTAAGTTTGCATCTGGGATATAATTTCAAGCAGACTTTCGGCTTATCAAATCTACCATATGTTGTTTTTCTCTAGAAACAGAACACCCACAAAAAAGTACCAAGTTCAAGGGGTGTAGCCATAGTTTTAGACAACATGTTTTGCTTTAGTGCTAGAATTAAACTGAGTTTACAGATTTTGTTTCCTAATCTCTCAGCCTTTCTTCATTAAATAAGCTAAATTCAGATGGGTAAATGTTGCATTGTTGTGGCCATAATGAAACAACACTAGTCCTGAAGAAATGTTTATCACTGTGTTTTAAATCAACTAGCAATCCATTAACATTAGATTTCAGCTGATTTTCACCATCTCTCCACCTCATCTTAGCACTAAAAAGAGAATAAAAATAAGCGAAGGGACGAGAATCCACATTGGCGATTACTTAATCGATCGTTGAAGGGAATTCCATAACACCCAGCAAAGTCTTCAGCATGATCCACCAAGGCATTTTTTATCACATCATATCCACAGAGAATGACCATAGGCGTTGGCCCCACCCAGAGAGTAAAAACAGGTCCATACCTTTTCACCAGCTGCAGACAGAGTAAATGCATTCTTGCTTGAATTATTTCAAACATCTTTTGAAATAATTATACATATGGACAGTTGCGATATTTCTTAGTTTAGTATGGCTCCCAATAAAACCATATTGAAGTGTTATCCTACGCAGAGCCTGTCACATACGCATATCAATGAGGCACAAATTAGCTTGTCTTATTCCTCTATCCATCCTTTTATCCCAAGCATCTCTAGTTTAGCTCATGCCACCTGGGGAACACGCTACAC